ATTCATCGAATTCTTCATCAGCTGAAAATTCATATAAAAAAAGTTTCTTTTTCAATCTAACTGCTTAAAGTACTTTCATACGGAGCAGGGGATGTATATAAAGAGAGAAACTTACTGTAAGTACGGCCAAGGGCTTCGAACAGACGGTCTCTTCCAACGCTAACGGTTGGCATGGTGACACCTGAATCTGAGAAAATTGGCGGCGGCGGCAGTGGCGGTGGCCGGTGATCAGATGCAACCGGTGAGCCAAAAATGGAAGGCGGCAAGGGTTCCGGCACAGTAGGTGAAGAAGGCGAGTAATTCAATCTCCTTTTTACATAAACCAAAATATTACTGAAAAGTGCATAAAGGTCCCTAAACTTGTAGAAAGTGAATAAAACTACCCTACATTTAGTTTTTATAATATAAAAAATGTCCTCTAATTATTTATATTAAAAAATAAAAACGAACATATAACAATATGTTTGGATCATTGTTACTCATTATATTGTATTATATTGTATCGTTGTTATATTTACAATGTTTGTTTTGATTGTGACCTAATTCTTATTCATTTAATTTAATTTTATCCAAATAAAGTAGGATAAAAAACATAAAAAACTTCAATTCAAATAAAAATGTTAATTTGTTTTCTATGTATATATCTATATATAATTTTAATGTAGGATAAAGTTTGTATTAGTGAGATGTGAAAGTAATCATGAAATTATTAAATCGCATATAAAATAGACATTTGAATTATAAGGTGAGTCTCATATCAAATATATAATTGATGTAAAAATGTTAATTAATGTGATTATCACTTTAACAGATTTTATTTAGTATAGTTGAATATGTCAATTTGCGTACAACTCAGTTATATAATTATAAGTGAAAAAAAGATTAAAATATATTCAAACTATCTGAAATTGAACAAAAAATGTCTTTGATTAATAATTTGATTTGAGAAAATATCTTTAGTATTGCTTCATGGATCAAAAATACCTTTTTAAAAAATAATATATATATATATATATATATTATTTTAAACCCCAAATATCTTTCCTATAGTAAAAAATTTTACTGACAAATGTTTATTCTACATTAATTCGAAAAAATAAATTCAAATTGCTTATTTTATAATTAAAAAGTTATTGTTATCTAGATGAATTGAGGATATATCTAAAATAATTATACACATGACATAAATTATTCGTCAAGAGGGTACATGAAGTTATTATATTTTAATTGATAAAATGAAATTAAGAAGAGGAGATTATTTTCTACATTTTTATTAGTTCAAGTAATTTTAAAAGTAAGAGTAATGTTTTGTTATGAATAAGATGTGTTTAAAAGGAAAAAAATTACTTATTTAAAAGAGAATATTTTCGATCCATTAAGTAACAATAAATACCTTTTTTTACCAAATTATTAATCGTAAAGATATTTTTGAATAAAAATATTGATGTCAAATATATTTTTAGACTAAACTATTAATTGATAATATTCTATCACATAGTTTAATATAATATTTTTGATATTTTTTCTGTATAATAAAATACATGCTATCTTTCTATGATTGAAATATCAAAAAATTAAAATATATTATCCAAAACTAGGCAATAACTAAAAATTAATAATTTTTCTCCTTGTTAACATTTTTTATATTATAGTAAAATAATCAGGGCTAATTTCAAATATATACAAAAAGTGTTTAATTTATAAAAGTATATAGACATGTTTTTCTTGCGTAACTAATAAATAGAAGTCATAGGAAACAAATATACACCGACTATAGAATATAGCGTACACTAACTATATGTTATAGCTTGTCAAAAGTCATGGAAAATATATATCAAGTATGCAATAGCGTAAATATATATGAGTTATACACTAACTATACACTATAGATTGTCAAAAGTTATATTAAGTATACATGGAGTATGCAATATATTGTGTCAAGCTATATATGAGCTATACACTAACTATACATTATAGCTTGCCAAAAGTCATAGAAAGCAAAGGCAAATCTGTGATTGAAAGACGACAGAGACACTATTAAAGTCGAATGTGAGTTAATGAAGCAACGCCACTTTATCAAAAAAATTGTTAAACAATTATGAAATCGAGTGTATATATAAATATAAAATCACAAAAATTGAGAGTGGGTCTGCCTCGAATAGAAAGTATAATATGACTATACATTATGGTGTACCTATATATAATTATACATTAACTATACATTACGATATACACAAAAAAATAAATATAGTTTAACTATATATGAAGTAGACATTGATTATAGACTATTTAATCTCGATCAACTCAAAATCGCTCTAAACAATCTTAGATTTCAAATATTAAATTCTCTCGATGTTTCAAATCTTTTGATACATCGTTCGCTTGAAACGATTCATATTTACGATAAAATAATTTATTTATTTTTATTTTAAAAGACAACCGCAAGAATAATTAATAGCACCAATAAAAAGAATCATCAACAAGCAAAATAATAAATCTTGTAAGATAAATTTATGGAGCAATAGTGACTTTAGAGAGTGTCAATTTTTTTTTAAATATAGTTAATCTTTGCACGATAATAAAAATATATTTTGTTTATCTTAAAAATAGAGATTCAAGAAGAAAGAGTGTACACAGATTTTATATATATTTCATGAAGTTAAAAAAGCGATTTCAAAAAATTCTCAATATTTAAAATACAAGTACTTAGTATGTTACTCCTCGTTAGCGCTAATCCTCTTAATTTTTTTGCCACACAAAAAGAAATAAATACTTTGAATTTTTTTTTTCGTTTCTCCCCTTTATGTTTGAACTAACTTACATTTCAAAAATATTTTTTTGTTATAACGTATCCTAATAACTATGTCTTTCTTTTTCAAAAGATCAAACATCATTTCTTCTTGCGTATCATTGATTAATAATTTGATTTCTAAATAACACTCCATCTTAAATGTCGTCATCATCGATTTTTTTTTTATTATTAGTTTAAGTAAGTTCTAACCAAGAAATTTAATTTACAAAATAACTTAAAAGAGGTTTAAAAATTTAGAATTGAAATGGCAAAATAATTATTTTTTTTTCTAGTCGACGATTATTCAAAAACAATTAACTCCATCAAGCTATGTCAATGGAATGCTATAAAAGTAACATAAATATATTTTTAAGAATTTAATATGTACTTGATATTTTTAAAGACCTCAATCAATATGAAGGATATAATCATATACATTATTAATTTATTAAATTTATTTCATATTTGACAAAATAAATTTACAAATAACTTATTCTAAAATTTATTATAAAAAACTCAGAATAACTTGTTTCCGATCAAATAAGTCAAAAAAATTAAGATGAAAATTACACAAAGTTAAATCATTAATTCTCGCTTTTCAATGATTTTAACAGAATATTCCTTCTATAAGCTTAATATTCTTCTAGTTTCTTCAATTTTCTTTTCACCCTTTTTTTTTTAATAATAATTTCTCTATAATTCAGTATCTTCCTTCAACACAATTTAATTTCTTCGTTAGATCTCAAATCTAAAATTAACACAGAAAAATAGTACAAAATATTCCCCGATAATTCAAAAAAAAAATTAATTCTTGATTTTCATGTGAATTTTGTTATCAAAACTAGAAATTTATCTTCAACTCAACAATATCTATTTCCAATTTTCAAATTTTTAATAATAAATATCTACAAAATTGAAAATTAATAGGATCGCATCAGTTCATTATTTTTTATTTTCTCTAGTTGATATTAATCGAAGAACAATTAACTTCATTTAGCAATGTCACATGAATATTACAAAAACTTATAAATGTGTTTTTCATGATTTTTTACATTGAAAAGTACATTTATATATTTTTTGTGATATCAAGTAACATTATTTTTTCCCCTAGAATTTAATATGCAATGTCGTATAGAACTAGTCTAGTGAGATTTACATTCCCCGTATGATTTATAAGCTATAACATAGCGGGGTATATTCAGTATGCACAAAGTGCTCACCCAAACGATAGAGACCATGACAGAGGTGACTATGAGTTATCGTGTGGTTCCGAAAAGAAAAGATCTAATATATTCTTAATATTTCCTGAAGTATTCAAATAACACACTATTTTAGAAATTAATTTTAATACGAGTAATTGTATAGAATGACAAACTAATGATGTAAAATAAATACAGTACCTACCGTTTGATTTATTTGTGTTCCATAACAAACTGTTTGTCAGCCTCTTCCTCCCTCGTAATTTTCGCTCACCACTCTCCTTCTCTTGCTCGCTTCATGTCGCTCGCCTCTCTCGCTTTATACAATAGAATCGTATAAAATATGTTTCTGTATATACATGCAAAATACATATATCTCCGTCATATAATACTTATAATTATACAATACAAATATTTTTCTGTCCAAGTCTCTTTTGCCTTTCTCTCTTTCTCGTTTTTTATACAAATTCAAGTTGTATATAATTTATCTGTTTCTCATTTTATACAACTCGATTCAATTTTATACAAATTCGAATTTTATACAGATATACAAACACATACAATTGAATTGAGAGGCTAACAACGATTTATACAAATGAGAGTCTAACAACAGTGTATACAAATGGTCTGCGAAATTATACAAATCTGAAGAAGAACCAACGAATTATGCAATTACTACTTTGTATATATATGTATAGCGAAATAAGCATAGCTTTCAGTTATATATATATACATTTGCTGGGGAGCGCAATTATGCAAACTTTATTATAACATGTAAATTTGTATTTTGTATTTGCTACATGTGAAAGTTGTCAATTTTAAAATAAATTTATTTAATATCTAACAAAATAAAAATTCCAAAATTAATTATTACGATAACTTATTTCCAATCAAACTTCGAAAATGATAGAAGATGAAAATTGAACAAGGTTAAACCATTAATTTCCATTTTCAATGAGTTTTTAACAGAATATTCCTTCTATAAACTTAATACATTCTTCTGGTTTCTTCTATCTCCTTTCCACCCTTTTTTTTTTTTTACAATTCAATATCCTCATTCAACACGATTCAATTGCCTTGTTAGATTCTAAATCTAAAATTTACACGAAAAAATAGTACAAAATCCTCTCTGAGAATCCAGAAAACCCTTTAATTCTTGATTTTCAGGTGAATTTTGTTACCAATACTATATGTTAATCTTCAATTAAACAATACCCGTTTTCCAATTTCCAAGTTTTTAATTTTGTAAAGAACAAATTTTTTGTTGATGGGTATGGTTTATTTCATGGCCTAAGATTAGTTAAAGCATTTGTTTTGATGAATTTGTATTAAAAATTTGAAGAAACTAAGAAAAACTCATGATTTTCTGCTGGGAAAAGTTAATATTTTTTGTTTGAGTTGATACCCACATTTCTAAGATTGTATTTTTGCTTGTGTTTATGCTGTTTCTATTTTGTAGGTATTAGTTGACTGTGTTTGGACTTTTCACTTTTGTGAGGTTGAGGAGGAGGAGGAGGAGGTAATGGGATATGTTGATGGGGATGATTTAATTCATTCCGTTGAATGAATTGAGCATTTGTTTGATGAATTTGTATAGAAAATTTCAGGAAACAAAGAAAAACTCATGATTTTCAGCTGGGAAAAGTTTATATTTTTTAGAGTTTATACCCACTTGATTGAGATTTCTAAGATTGTATGTTGCTTATGGTTCTGCTGTTTTTATTTTGTAGGAATTAGTTGACTGTGTTTGGACTTCTCATTTCTGTGAGGTTAAGGTTGAGGAGGAGGAGGTAATGGCATCAGTTGATGGGCATATTTAATTCATGCTCTTGAATAAGTTGAGCATTTGTTTGATGAATTTGTATTGAAAATTTCAAGAAACGAAGAAAAACTCATTATTTTCAGCTGGGAAAAGTTTATATATTTTTTGAGTTTATACCCACTTGACTGAGATTTCTGAGATTGTATTTTGTTGATGCTGATGCTGCTTACCTGTTTTTATTTTGTAGGTATTAGTTGACTCTTTTTGGACTTTTCACTTCTGTGGGGTTGAGGACGAGGAGGTAATGGCATCTGTTGAAAGGCATGATTTGATTCATGGCATCAAATTAGTTGTGCATGTCTTTAATGAATTCATATAGAAAAAAATTAGATTTTGTTGCATATTCAAGATTTCAGCTGGACAAAACTTGTAATTTTTTCACGTTGATACTCACTTCACTGAGATTTCTATGGTTGTATTTTGTGGATGCTGATGCATGTTTTTCTTGTGAAAGATAGTTGACTGGTAGAGAGGTGTTTGGACTTTTGTGAGGTTGAGGTTCAGGAGGAGGAAATGGCATCTGTTTCTGGGTCGAAAGGTGAGATCGATGAAACCTCTCCTGACATGTTGAAGAACACACCATCAAATATTAGGAGGTTAGCAGATGAGATTGAACACTTAGAGGGGAGGCAAAAGTACCTTGCTCAGACTAGAAGTCCGTCAGATGGTGGTGATGTTCGTTGGTATTTCTGCAAGATGCCTTTGGCAGTAAACCGTATGTTCTACTCTTAACTGTAAATGTTTTAGGTCCCATGTTGGCATTCATATTTGCAAACTTCTCTAAAAGTTGTTTGAGTTCTTTTCTTTATTGAGTTTGAAAAGTGAGGTCCACATGTCATATGTTGTGACGTGTTGCTTTTTTCTCTGTATGTTGAAGTGCTCGTAGTAGATGTACAATGTGGACATTTTTTTTTTCGAGGGAAGTTAAGGCAGAATCAGAAAGTGAGCACTTGAAACAAATTTGAAAACCATTCCTTTATGCATCATGTGGACTTTTTGAAAACCAAAGGCTTCATATTTATCTTGTTAGACATTGATATGCTTACAGAACTTAACTTTAGTGTGGGATTAGGATGACTGATTATATCTCAAAAATTTGAGTTTTTTGATTTTCTGGGGTTGTCACTTTTGGCTATAGCTTGTAATCTTATGATGGACTTCTTCAGTAACTTCTTGGCACTTTATTGATAAAAACCCGTCACAAAAAAAAGAAGAAGTGGGAACAGAATACAATGGAATACCAACTAGTCTTGATTATGGTTTAGTTGTGTTGTTGCACTTACATTCTTTCTGATGTTTGTTAGGAGACTTGTTAGATTGGTGAGAGACTTGTATGTCAGTGTATTGTGTGAGATTTTAATAATCCCTAGTTTTAGAGAACCAATAGACCCTAAATTACCTTAAAAGACTGATTATTAAAACAAATTAAGCTCGAATAAAGCTGAATGGATGTTGAAGATTCATATTGCCACTCCCAAGTTTTGGATTGAAGCATAGTTCAGTAGGAAAAAATTGAATTGAAATAGAAGGTGTTAATGTATTGGCTCAAAGGAGTACAGCCATGTATTTGACTCATGGATATCTTTCCTCTCTGAGATTCTACCTTGGGAACAATTAATTGGAAAACCAACTTGCTAGTTTATTCTGCTGTTTATCCTTTCGTTGTTCATTATATGGTTCTGAGGGATTTTTGTCCTCCAAAATGTTGCATTCCTTTTGAACCCGATTTCTGCAGGTTAAAAACATAAAATGTCTGGACTATAAATTATACATAAGCTTTCTGAGTAACAAAATTATAGATTCTAAAAGGCAGCTATAACAGTAAGTTCAATTCGCCTAGATTTAGTGTTCTTCAAAGGAGTTCATCATACCTTCAGAAACTTTACTCTTGATGAGTCGGGTTTTGCTTTCTGGTTTAAAGTGTATTCATGAGTCAAGATTCTCTGATAAGTAGCTGATCTTCTTTAAACTCGTGAGTCCAAATATTATAGATTTGTCAATTGCTGTGAGCATGAGCTGTCGTATTCGTGTATAAATCTAGGTTGTCCTTTGTGGATTTCACTTTTACACAGAGCCTGCTGCAGCAGTCCCCAAAACAGAAGTAGTGGGAAAGGGTGATTACTTTAGATTTGGCTTGAGAGATTCTCTTGCAATTGAGGCTTCTTTCTTGCAGGTAATGTTTTCTGACCAGAGTTCTGTTTATTTGGATTACTTCTCATTTGTAAATAATTAATCTATGGCCCAGTCAGTATAACATTTGCTGGTACGTGATAAAGAGATATTGCCCCATATTTGCTTCATTTCTGCTTGATTATGCAAAGTTCAAGCTTCTGTATAAATATGCTCATCATGTACCTTCTGAAAGAATGGAAACAAAAAGAATATCATGGTATAACTTGTGTGGATATCACAATCTGCAATATTGTATGTCGACATCTGCGGTATTAATTGAGTTGCCCTATGCAGAGAGAGGATGAGTTGCTTTCTTCTTGGTGGGAAGAGTATGGGGAGTGCAGTGTGGGTCCAAAGGGGGCACCAAATAGATTCAATTCTGCATCAGAAATATCTTCTCCGGAGAGCTCTCAAGCACATGAAGATTTAGTTGAAGAAGAAAGAGTTGGAGTCCCTGTTAAGGGGGGCCTGTATGAGGTATCCTTTGTCTATTTCATTCTCTTTATTTACTGCCTGTTAGTCCATCGAGGAAGAGTACTTACCTTTTGTACTGTCATAATGACTCGTGAAACAAAAATAAAATAAAATTTACAGTACAGAATATAGACCTCCTAAGAGAAGAGGGTCAAGACAAAAGTTATAAAGATGTTCCCCAATTGCAAAGATCTGGGTAGAACATGTGATATCTGGAAATTATGCATGATGTAGCATGGACTATGCGGTTCTTGCCTAGAAATCTTATCTGGTTTCAACCTCTGCATATGAGAGTTAATTAGAAGGGGGTAATTACACAGTTAGAAAATAAATTCCTGAATAAGGACTGTCATCATCTCTGCAGGTAGATTTGGTAAAGAGACACTGTTTTCCTGTTTACTGGAATGGAGAAGATCGTCGTGTCTTAAGAGGTCACTGGTTCGCTCGTAAAGGGGGTCTGGATTGGCTTCCACTACGTGAAGATGTTGCTGAGCAGTTGGAGTTTGCATATCGGAGTAAGGTATTTGGCATCACTAAGAATGGCAGTTTTGATATATATCATCTCATGTTGACTGCAAAGATTTATATGTCATTGGTTTTATCATCTTTTTTTTTTACATCTTCTGCTAAGGAATGTGTGACGGCATGTGGCAGATGCTGGACTCCTACTACTTACTGTCAAAAAATAAAATGCATTTGAAAATTTTACCTTATTATCTGTTTGTTCACTGATCCAATTGAACATTTCTTTTTTCATTTAATGTTCTATGCTCCTCTTCTTTTTGTGGATAATTAAAAAATTTCCCTCAGTAATATTGACAAGTCTTGGATGGCTGCCACAGGTTTGGCATAGAAGAACCTTTCAGCCGTCAGGGCTCTATGCAGCTCGAGTTGATATGCAGGGTTTCGCCCCGGTATTAAATTGCTGAATTTATGGAGCTTTTGTTTATATGCTTTTTGAGTTGTACTGTAGTGATGTACTTGCTTGCAACATGCAGGGACTGCATGCTATTTTCACTGGAGAAGATGATACTTGGGAAGCCTGGCTTAATGCTGATGCCTCTGGTTTCTCAGGTGCTATAGGATTTGGGGGGAATGGTGTTAAGCTAAGGCGTGGATATGCTCTTCCTCAGTCCCCGAAACCAACACAGGCACTCATTTTCTTACTATCAAATCTAATACTTCTGTTGGTTCTCTTCGTTCTGATATGAAGTTACTAGTGTTAGTTTCCTTTTTACTGTTTTGTGCTCATCTTCATAGCGTCCTCTTTCTTTGAGTGGACATCGAGGGGGAGACATCATATAGTCTTGGATTGGCAATTCTCTCCTCATGAGATAGCTTTTGGGGTTGAGTTAGGTCCAAGGTCCATTTCTTCGCTATAAGGAAGTTGTTTATATGCCTTCTGTTATAAAGATGATTTAGAGTGAAGACTGGCTTTTGGTCCATAAAGGGTCTTGATATTTAGGATTTGATCTGTTTTCTCTTGTTTCTCCTTGCTGAAATTGAACTCATGTATCTGTTTCTTTTAGGACGAAGTACGTCAACAGAAGGAGGAAGAAATGGATGATTACTGCTCACAGGTAGGCCTAGTGCTTCTTGTTTACTACGTGAGTGTATGTGTTCTACTTCTATCACTCATCAATCAAATGATATATGAATATGGGGATGCTTATTTTGTCTTGACCTTAAGAAAATGATATCATCATTAAGTTGCCAGTTCAAAAAAAAAAGATGCAACCATCATGTAGGCTTGTATTAGTAGTTGTACCTTTGATTGACTAAAGGAGCTACTTTTGAAGTAATGTAATGAAAAGCAACAATGGGAGGAAAAGTCAGATTTGAAAAGAGGATTTCACACTTCTTTCTCTCATTTAAAACTGTCATCTCACACAACACCTAAGTGATAATGAGAGAACAACCCGTTTTCCTTCCTTTGAGGTGGCTTTATCTGCGTGATATGTCTCTATTCGTGTTCTTTAGAGTTCAGTAATTACCTGTTTAATCAATTTTGATGTTTCTTTGTTTTCCTTTGCTGATCAAGTTAGTTGAGATTACTAATGTTTCCTAAAAAAATGCATAAACTTGTTTTTTACAAGACTCATCTTTTCCACTTTTTACCTTCCATATGTAGAATGGTCTCTTTTCAACTTCTATGATAGCTTTGTAGTGCAGCCTGTGTAACTTGATACTGCTGTGTATAGGTTCCTGTTCGACATCTGGTGTTCATGGTTCACGGGATTGGTCAAAGGTTGGAAAAATCAAATCTTGTGGATGATGTTAGTGACTTCCGCCATATTACGTCAATCCTGGCTGAACGACACTTAACCTCATACCAACGTGGCACTCAGAGAGTTCTGTTCATCCCATGCCAGGTATTGCTTTCATAGTTGATCTTTTACATTTCTTAATGTGGTTACATTGTTATGAATGCATTAGGGGTCTTTGGGTTGAAGAGATCTATTTTTCACATAACAATCAGCATTAACTAATGCAATTGGTGATCCTTTCTGTTTCCTCATTAATAATACTTGTATAAGTTATGTGGGATAAAAGATTGAATAAGAAAGCAAATATTAATGATACATGGATTAATCAAGTGAATGAAGGTTAATATTGTAACATGGAATTTGAGGGCCCTTACTAATCCCAGAAATATGGTGAACAATTAGAAAACAGATGTCTATTGCTTTCAAAGAATCAAAGTTAAAAGGTGACATTAGGGATATTATCAATGAATTATGGGCAAATAGGTGGGTGAAGTATGCATAGTTGGAGGCCAGTGGTACCAGAGGGGGAATTATATTGCTATGGGATCGCAGAATATGGGAGGGAGGGATATGTGAGGCAAGTTCTTACTGTTTCACCTGCAAATTCTTAGGCAAACCTCTGGAATTTTGTTGGCTTTTATCCAGATGTCAGGATGTAGAGGGAAGAGGTGTGGCTGGAACTGCGCGCGGTCGGAAGCCTTTTTAATGAGCCTTGGGTGATTGCCAGGAACTTCAACACAGTTAGATTTCCATTTGTGATGAAAGGTACTAAATTCAACAAAACCATGGTTGATTTTTTTGAATTCATAGAGGAGATGGTGCCGGAGCCTGGAGGATATTCCATTGGCAGGTTGCAATTATACATGGATAAAAGGGAAAGACCATTATATTGCCGCAAAACTTGATAGATTTTTGACTTCAGAAAGAGTGGGAAGTTTCCCTTAGGAACATCAAGCAGTCAGTTCTACTGAGAGATATTTCTGACCACTGTCCTTTAGTTCTTGATTGTGACAATTGGGAGAGGTCAAATTATTTGTACAAATTTGAAAATTGGTGGCTCCAGGCAGAAGCCTTCAAAAGAGAAGAGTCAAAAGTGTGGTGAGACTCTAGCATATGTGAAGGCAGGCCAGATTTCATTTTTAGCTTTCAAGTTGAAGGCTCTGAAGGGGAAACTTAAGGATTGGAGCAAAACTATACAGGGCAATCTGGAAATGCAGAAACAAAGTATACTTAGTCAAGAAGAGATTCAAGGCCATATATTACTGACAGATGATGAGGCTCACTTGAGGGCTGCCCTGACAGTGGTGTTTGAGGAAAATGCGAAAAAAGGTGGAAGTGGCCTGGAGACAAAGATCAAGGGGTTTTGTGGCTTAATGAAGGGGAGAGAAACACCAAATTCTTTCATAGAACTATAAACTGTTACAGAAGGTGAAATATCGTTGATAAGTTTGTTATTAATGAAACTTCCTTAGATGAACCATCAGAGATCAAAGGAGAGATTATCAAGTTTTACCAAAATCTTCACACTGAAACAGAGAATCCTGTCATTATGTAGCAAATGTATGCCTACTTGATCAGAGTGTCATTTATAACTGTAATTGCAACAGTTGAGATTGTTGAAAATGTTGATAATAATGATGAACACTAGAAGCATCTAAAATTAGTAAGTAAAATCATCTATTGGACATGTGATTTAGGGCCTAGCAATCCGAGACCACAGGTGATCCACTCTCTGCTTAGGGGTCCTCCTCGAGATCGTAAGATGCAAAAATAGAATAGGCCAAAGTGAGGGCACCAAGTAGGTATAATCACTGCTGTCTGTACTTGAATTTACATTGTTTGTGCTTAGTGGTGCTTGATTGAATTATTTCCAGTTATCGTATTACTGCAACTCTAAAAATTGCTGTTATAGTCTTTCAATTGAAGCATTATCTTGTTACATAATAGTCACGTCTTTTCCCCCTTTGTCCGTTAGCATGTTTAAGTGTTTTATCTTTTTGCATTCCTGTCGTGTAATATTTTGGGGTTTTCTTCTTCATAGATCTGTTTCTTGATCTGATTTCTGTTGATTTGTTCTTGTTAATTAACGTCAATTTTTCTTATGTTTCAACTGTGGGTACCAGTGGAGGAAGGGCTTAAAGCTTAGTGGTGAGGCTGCAGTTGAACGATGTACTTTAGATGGTGTACGGGGATTGCGCGTACTGTTGAGTGCAACAGTGCATGATGTGCTGTATTACATGAGCCCCATTTACTGCCAGGCTATTATTGACTCGGTACTTCTAATATGCTTTCTCCAGTTCAAGTTTTCCTCACTAGCTTTTCTTCTTCCTGATGTTGCTCAGCTGTTGTGTTTGATTTTCTGCCTGGTTTCTCTATTCAAATGTTCAAGTTGCACTTCTAGTTTTGGAACTGATGTTTTGCTGGATTTCTTGGATTCTTGATTTTCTGCCTGGTTTCTCTTTTCAAATGTTCAAGTTGCACTTTTAGTTTTGGAACTGATGTTTTGCTGGATTTCTTGGATTCCCTTTAGCTTTGAGTAATCCATGTCCAGTTAATTTCTGTATTGCTGCAGTACCAGCTTGGTACTATCTGTTATTTAATAAAATTTATTTTTACTGATAAAAGAACTTACAAACTTTTGCTTCCATAGCCCAAACTCTTTTGACTCTGGAGAATGAGGGGTTGTAATTCACATAATTGTTGTTATAGCTGTATGGAGCACAAATTGGTAACTAAGTGAAAATTTATATTCTCTGTAATAAGGTGTATGGCTATCTGGCCAAGCACCCTATGTGGTTACCTTTCTCATTAGATTTTTGGTTGTTGATTTATTCCCATATGTCAAAACCGGTATTATTTTTGTTTGAATTTTTTTGGGGTAATTGAAAAAGTATAATGTAACCCCTACAGAGCAGATCTCCTTATAAATGCTCCTGGAACCAACAAAATCTAAAAGATCAGAAAAATTACTCCCAAGCAAAAAGGTTTAGTAAACATCTAGATTTAAGTACTTATATGGGAATTGAAATACCTTCAAAGCATCTCTGATTTCGCTCTTTCCATATGGTCCATACACTATGGTATCATCTTCTAATTGTCCCTTGTAGATTTCCTTACTCTTAATCCATTCCAAATAACAAAAACTTCCTTCAAGCTCCTAGGCATTACCCAGCTTGTACCAAAGGTACTGTTCAACACATTCAACAAGCTCCTTGCTACTATTCAATGCACAAATAGATGATCTATATTTTCACCTTCTTCTTTAAACATGAAGAACCTGCTGCAAAAACTGTACCTCTCCTCCTTGGAACTTCTTGTGTTAAGCATGCTCCTTGAGCTGCCAGCCAGCTAAAACATAACTGTACCTCTCCTCCTTGGAACTTCTTGTGTTAAGCATGCTCCTTGAGCTGCCAGCCAGCTAAAACATACCTTGGTTGGAGATTTTGTTCTCAATATCATTTTCAAAAGGTCTATCTTCAAAGATATACCATTTCTTTTTGCCACTCATTGACTGTGCAGCTTTCTTTACCTCTATTTTCCCATATCAATTCCTCTCCAGTTGATGTATCTGAATATTTTGAATTTTGTCCAAAAACTCTACCATTTCTTCCACTTCCAAGTCATGGCATTGTCTCCTGGCTGTTGATCTGTGAACCAAGTGGTTAGCATAACCTAATTTTAGAAAAATAACTGTATAATCTTATCAGCTTGTAACTGTAACAAATTGCGATTCTAGGGATCACTGTTGTCTTTGAATTTGTTATGTATGTCTAGTTTTCCTAAATCCTGAGATGGAAAAGTATGCTCAGTAGCATTTTTTTTGTTTTATGAAACTGGTAACTTAATAGCATTTGTATTTCTTTTCATGATGAAATCCTCATATACCACATGTCTAGTGCTGACTCTATTATTGCAAAGAAATAGTTCCTTCTTAGAATGAAATCATACACATGTACTCACTTAAAAAAAACTATGAGTGAACCTATTCTAAAGTATTTAATGAATAACTACAAATCATATTTTGAGTTACACAAGTAATGTTTTCTCTTTTCATAATTAGTACTGTTGTATTCTTCAGCATTAGGCATAAAGGACTGTGGCCGCCTCCAAAAAAATTACAACGTAGTAAGGTTAGACTCTAAGCTTTAGATAGCACCTAAGAAACCTACCAGCTCATCTACTTCCTCTACAAAATATCCTTCGCACAAGAGAATTAAAACACTAAACAGTTCCGTTTCGCATCATGTATGAACTTGATCTCGTTTCCAAAACCTCTCCCATTTCTTTCTTTCCATCTGTCCAGCATATACATGAGGATTTATCCTCTACGATTTGTTCGGACTCTTGCTACCCCCTCTTTTCATCCAGCAGCTCATCAAGTCAGCAGTATGCTCAGGCATTATCCACTCAGTCTTTGTGAGACTGAGGAACAGGTTTCACAATTGTGAAGTAAACTTGCAATGTAGAAAAAGATAGTTGTTTGTCTCTCCAGTCTCATTGAACAAAAAACATCTCGTCAGTACTATTCTCCCCCCTTCTGTAAAAGTTACATAAATAATGTTACTTTTAAGAGAACTGAATGGGGTCTAGGCATGCAGCATAGAGTGCTGGAATAGAAAGTTATGTGTGAAAAAAATCACTACTATGACTTAAGTGGTCGAAGATTCTGCTCATTAAAGCAACAATGACAATTGACATCTAGTGGAGCAAAACTGAAGGCATCACAAATGATTCAACCAGTTTTACCAAATAACAATACCAAAGGGTAAGTACAGTGACACAATTAGAAATATCTCTATTGACCTTCCTGAGTGACTTAAGGTATGTTCAGGTAGACTGCATGACTTTCTGCAAAAGATTTGCTCAACTTGATTTGAAGGGCATTTTATTATGTTTTCTGGATTATTCCATTTTCGATTCATTTATTCCTGATATCGGCGTGCCATTAATAATTGGTTTTAATGTGTATGAATACCTCCTATTGCACCGATCTGTGGGTTTGCAACCATGATATTGAAGGTGTAACACAGGGACGAGGTAGACCTAAACTTACATTGAAGTCAACAGTCGTAGAAGATCTACAATCTCTTGCAATCCATAAACATTCAGCAGAAGACAGAACACAATGGAAGCTAAATATCCATATAGGCAATGCCTACTAGCTGGAATTAAAACTTAGTCATGATAATATGCTAAACGTAGGTTCATTTGCTAGGATATCTATTAAGTTCAGAGATTTGTATGTTAGTAGAAATTATAGAAAACCTACAGTATTAATGAAATCCAAACTATTGAATATTGGAAATGGAGTTGAGAGTTCATGTAGCTTGACCACAACTTCCTATGGGTTGAGGCATAATAGTTGTTGTCACACTTTTTCAAGGTCATTCTGTTTATTCATTTTAGCAGATTCACCCATTAATTTGTCTTTACTTCATATGATATGCATTGGCACTTCAATATGGTATATCAATTGCCTACCTTTAAATTATTAGTGTTTAGTGCTAATTGTTTATTCCATATTCAGGTCTCCAACCAGTTGAATATGTTATACTTAAAGTTTCTCAAGAGGAATCCCGGTTATAGTGGAAAGGTATAAAGATATAACTGAATATGCAGAGATTCTTTCTTATTTCTATAAGAACTTGATGCATACAGCTCAGATTAAAGATACATACTAAAATTTTGTAAAATTCTCAGGTTTCTTTGTATGGTCATTCCCTTGGGAGCGTTTTGTCATATGATATCCTATGCCACCAAACAACACTGTCATCCCCTTTTCCCATGGAGTGGATGTACAAAGAACAAAATGAGAATGAATCGTCTCAGCAGGATCAGAGCAACCTATCTTTAGACCAAAACTCTGCCTTAAGCTCAGATGATGAAACTTCTATTAGGAAGGGAAATAAGAGTGATCTGTCAGATAAAGACAAAATGAATGTAGAACCAAGTTTGTCAGAGTCTGTGGAAGATCGTACTGAAGATTTTTGTCATCCTGTGGGCCCTCCTGCTTCATCAGACTCAGACGAACCAGTTGCAAGCGATGATATCAGGGAACCTAATGATTCCTCAGCAAATGAAAATTTTCGTGAAACTCCTATTGATGAGAGGGACACTATAAATGATGCCGAGAATGTGGAGGATGGAATTTTTGAGTTTAATCAAAAGATTGATGAGGGAGTATCTGAATGTGAAAAAGACAGAACAATCAATTCCCTGAGGAAAGAGGTAGTGACATGTCATAGTCTGCATGCATTTTTCATTATTAAAAATACTTTCTCTGTACTGAAGTTTCTCCATCAATGAGACTGGTCCAGATTGATATGCTGAGAGCGAAAATCCAAGAATTAGACACCGAGTGTATAAAGAAAGGTACAGCTAGACAAATAACCATTTATGGATATCAGTTTTTAACTTCCCCTAACTTAGCATTTCAATTGTGTATCAAAGTAAATGGTCCTTATAAGTTTCTTTTGAGATAGGATGTGTAATGGAAGCAGAAAATGGAGGAACAAACGCAGCTACAAGAAATCAATCTATTCCTGAGGAAAGTGATTCAGCAAAGAGTTATACCCCGCAATTAAGATACACAAAGTTGAAATTCAAGGTAATACTTCTCCTTTGTAAGATGCAACTATTTTCTAGGTGTGTTTGGGCAAGTTTTGGTTTGATGTTGGAGCAGGACTTTCAATGTTCTTTGAAATTCCTAGAAAGAAAGTTATTGAGCTTATCAAAATGTTCATCTCTCTAAATATTTGTATTATGCTTTCATCATTTCTTTAATACAAGACTAGCAATATTTAATATCCTTTATGGTAGGGTTAACAATTTTATTGGAATGCATTAACTGGCTTTTGATAATTTCACCTTTCATTCTTCTGATTATTCTCCATTGTTGGGTACTCCAAGACATCTTCTAACCTTGGCTGTTTCATTCTTTGGTTTTTTAATAAAAAGGTGGATACATTTTTTGCTGTGGGATCCCCTCTTGGTGTTTTTCTATCCCTCCGAAATGTTCGTATTGGGATCGGTAATTCTTCTATCTATATTTAAAGCACATGTTGATTTCATTGCTTATTTATCCTCTGAAGGGGTATACTTTGTACTTTTGTGACAAATCTCTTGAATATTTTACCATAAGCCTGTAAAACTGTTATCTGTTTGCTTGAATAGACACTTAGTGTTTGTTCCATTGATCTAATATGTAAACTTTCTGAAAAAAGTTTAGATTGTATGATAAACAAAGGAAAACTCAGGAAGTATTACAGTAATACATACAATCAGAAATACAAAAGTGTTGCTGTACTCCTATGAACTCATAAGTTGTCTAAAATACTAGGGATATCCTCATGTTGACAAGGGTATTCATGTTTACACCAGAAATAGAAAAGAGCCAAACAATTCAGCTTCATTTTATCCATAGAGCTTCTCTTGTTCTCAAAACATCTCCAATTCCTTCTCAGCCAAATGGTCCACCAAATGCAAGCTGGGCTAATCTTCTATCTTTCCCTGTGTCCTGACTGATTTCCATCCCTATTCCAACATGCCAAAGCGTCCTTCATGTTTCCTGGCATAGATCAACTGATGCTCCTTACATTGATGAAAATCTGCCAAAGTTTCACCGTCTCCTTACAGTGTAAAAAGAGATGATTATTATCTCTGCTTCACATTCACAAAAAAAGCATCTGGAGCACAGCTGAAGGCTCCTCTTCATACGGATATCCTGAGTGAGAACAACCTGTTTGCTAAAAGCCAAGTAAAAACAGGGCACCATGTAGGGCACCTTAACTTTCCAGATCACTTCCCATTGCCAGTAGTTTGGTTGAGTCTGTGTCTTCGGTGAGTTTCTGTAAGCTGATTACTTTACTACTATCAAATCTGCAGTATAAACCTAATCTTTATATATCAATCCTTCAGTAGCAGTAAATAAATGTTTGTCAAATTAATTATTTTTTAAATTTTTGTCAAATCCTCCTGGTGCATTATGCTGCCTTTAGCTCTGCAAGTTCCATGAATCCTGTGGATGCTCTAAACTCGGTATGTTGGTGGCGACTGGTGTCATTTGATGTCTATAAGGGGTTAATTCATTTTTTTTGTCGGTTCTAGGCAACTCATGGGTGTTTGAAATATGGCAGTTCTTTTTCTTCTATATTAAAAAGATGGTGGTGCATCTGTTTCACTTAATTATTATTTCTTATTTCTGTTTTATCCTGGTATGACAGGCAAGGGGAAAGACTACTGGGAAGAGGATAACATAGTTGAAGAGATGCCAGCTTGTCGACAAATGTTCAACATATTCCATCCTTTTGATCCAGTGGCATACAGGTTTCATGGTCGTTATTGTTGCTAATTTTGGTCATCTTTTTTGTTATACAAGCTCATGCATGCTCGATCCTATTTCAGAATAGAACCACTCGTCTGTAAAGAATATCTCAACAAACGCCCCGTCATTATACCCTACCACAGAGGTGGGAAACGGCTGCATGTTGGTTTTCAGGTAAGGTCTCCATAGTTACGTAATTAATGTGCTAGGTTTTTTCCACCGTCTGCATTAATGTGCATCCTGATACTACTTGGTGCAGGAATTTAAAGAAGAAGTATCTTTGCGCTCACATGCTTTTGTGAACAATATAAATACTGTGAAGGTGTGTTTTCTCCCCATTTGTTGATGTGACATTACATGCACAAAAGGGTGGCATGTTTGTAACTGAGATGATATGATTCAATATCACCCAATAGGAAGTTCGATATGCTGTAATCTTGCTAAGGTTGACAAATGAAGAATTAAATATTCAGCTTATTACAAGTGAAACTTGCTGATTGGATTTTATTGACCTTAACAAAGTAAGAGAATAGCTGTTTAAAGTATAGATATGTGCATGATCTTTTAACATTATAAAGCATAGCTCATAGAAGTAGATATCCCTGCTGAACAGATCACTTGACATGGAAAATAATTATTTGTTTCGGTTTATATCAGCTTGTTGTTGGAACCATGAATTGAATGACTTGGGTTATGCTTCTATAACCTGATATTCTCCTTTCACTTATCATGCTGGAAACGTGTCTTCTTCATCTAACTATTTTTATGACATGCATTTTTTCTACTATTTTGAAACTTCAATCCTGGATTAATTTACAGAAGATGGGTAGACTTGCTTGTTTTAGTGCTTAGCCTTTATTTGTGTGATTATTTTATGGTTTTCAATTAGGTCTCATGATGCCAATGAGTTATGGATATTACTGACGCTTTGTGATTAGGTAAAGGTGATCACTCTTTGTCAATCAAGAGACAAGGATGGCGAAGATGGTAATAAAAGCAACCATTTCTTTTTTCGAGTGCTTTCTTCCAGTTTAGATTATAAAAGTTCCTCTTCCCTTTTATCTGTGACAGAAGCTATCAGCTCTAAATCAAGCTGGAGCATTTCCCCTCACCCAACAAACACCATTTACCTTTTATCTGTCTAGGTAATTATGTCACTTTCTTGCAGAGGGTTCCCAAGAGTCTCAGGAGATAGAAGAGAGGTCATATGGCTCAATTATGATGGAGAGATTAACTGGGAATGAAGATGGTCGAATAGATCATGTTTTACAAGTACGTTCATTCGCCATAGACCTTCAAACAGTTGTTCTATTTATGTTAAATTTTTCCAGTTTCTTTTGCAATTGAAGGCCTTAATATTCTGTGTTACATAGCTGTTCTCTTGCTCTTTCTACTTTTTCATTGTTTTCCTATAGCTGTTGATGTTCATATTTATGTGGGTGATTATTCAGTATGCAAATCGGTGTTATTTAATAGATAGATAGCCCCTTAAACTTGGCACGAACTGCCAGTTAGACACCTAAACTTTCTTAGTGACCATTTAGACACCTCAATTTACAGAGGTGCGTCTTGAGTACACCTTGTGTTGACATGGCATATTGTTTGTTTTACACTAATATTTGAGCACGTGAAAAGCTTAAAGTATGTTTTTTCTCTTCCTTTTGCTCAAAAAAATTCACCTCTCTTCTTCATTGACTTTTCCATGGGTCTATACACTTTCCAAAAAAAATAATCAGGAGATCAGTTCAAATGCGTCTATACATTTTCACCATTGATGACAAAAACAAGGTGGAAACATGAATTTTCCAGCTACAAAAAAGCATGTAAAATCTCTCTATCATTTTTTTTGAGGATAGTAACACTAATCTATATATGTAGTCCCCTTCAAAAGGTATTACAGTCTAGTCATATTGTCGTCTATCACCTCTATTTCTTACAAATAATGTAAAACATCCCAGATATCTTCTGCTTGTACTAAAATGTTCTCTTTACACCAAAAATAAAATAACGCTAGACAATTTATCATTAATGCTGATCATTTCCTTCGATTTAATCCCCGTCGGTAACGGGCAAGATTGGAGAGTAAGGAGGGTTTCCCCTACAATCACTTCTCACCGAATACAGAGTTTCACATGTTCCCCAGCAGAGGAAAGTTTTGGTCAAGATTAATAGCATTTGTCGTTTGCTTGAAGGCATAAAATTCTTGACAGAAGAATTCCACCATCTTCTTTCAGCATGTGTCAGGAAAACTTAATTCATAACTTTTATGTTATACACAAAAATGGAAGTACGACTCCTGTTCTCATACTAATCATTAGACAAAGATCATCAAAAGAAGCTTTTCAATAATTTTAAAAACTTCAAAAAATTACGATTACCGGAATGAATAAAGTTTTAAAAGCGTACGAGCATGAGGCATTCCACGTCTACTAATCATATTTTGTGCTTTACCGTCTGTCCATGCTGTGAACTTAAGTTTTAATGTCCAGCAAACTGAATAAAATATTTTTTTCCTTTTCGAAATCCACATGATTTCGCGTGTGTGTGTATATATATGTCATTAGGTTCTTACTCTGTGTTCCTTTTTAACACCTGGCTGCTGACAGTGTCAATGAATGAGTATATATTTTAACTCACTAGTCTCAATTGGCTTTTGTTCTTTTTTTTTTTGCAGGATAAAACATTTCGGCATGCATACATTTCAACCCTTGGAGCACACACGTAAGTATCCTTGTCAACTTAAGAGGGTTCATTATGTCAGTTGCACGTCTCCCCTAAATGATGATTGACAGGCATGTATACCCAAAAATCCCTCATGCGCAAATGAAGAAAATGGTGAGATCTAAAGTTTTTCAATGACAAAATCTTGTGTTCATAGTGTCTTTTCATACTAAAAAGACTTCGGTAGGGGTAAGGTTTGTGTCGCTTTAGCCTCCCCATACCCTACTCTTGAGATTATACTGTGTATGTTGTTGTAGTTGTAAGACTTGTATGATATGCAAAGTGACAGGAATCGTGGAGGAGTTTGAATTAAGTAATTCAAAGACAGAAGTGCTTAATGGTTATGGTAGTTCAAACTGTGTCAACTTACTCCACTTCTTAAGGTGCCTTTTTCCACTAAAAATCTCCTCTTGTTAGGGAACTCTGTCAAATCTTTCCTTGTCGTAGTCGACTTTTCTGTAACTCAATATAGTTTTTATGCAATAGAGAACCCCACTAGACTCATTAATCAAAGCTTTAAAAAATATGAATTCCCCTGCTTTGTGGTTGTGTCAATCGAACTTTCTGGAAGCAAAATTTGTTCAGGACGATTTCGATGTTGGCAAGAAATGCATGTTTGAATACCATTCTTGTCAATCAAAAAAGCGGTGGCGCAAAAGGTTTGGTCAATTTTTCCTAGAAGTTCTTTCTTCCTTCTCATCCAAGTTACCTACTATTCTTGAACTAGATAACATATTACATTGAAAGTCAAGAGAATGAGGAGTTGTTTAGTTCAAGAACTTGTTCAAAGATTTAGAAATAATATAGGGATACAAAATGTTGTGTTATTTACACCGAAATAACATTTGTAATTTAAGTTGTGTTGCAAAACAAATGCCTTGTTACTTATGCAGAATATTGTGGCAGAATTATATTTTCCTGATGCATCTAACCAAAAAAAACCTTTGTGTACTTCCAATCTTTTGGAGAAAAGCATGTTCAAATTGGTTTTCCTACTTTGGACAATGTTTGGTTGAGATTGAAAAACAAGTTTTTGAAGTTCAAGTTTTAAAAAAAGAATATTTGCAAGTTGCAATAGTGTTCGAACATGCATTTCACTTGAGAAAAAGTTGGAAGTTTTGTGAGTGAATACTATTATTTCACTTGAAATACCCATCTTTTCAACTTCAAATTCCCTATTTCAAGCTGAAGTTGAATAATGGACAAAATGGTAAAACAAACATACTTTGAAATTAATTTATATATTTACAAATGATGATAATACATGTCCCACCACCTACAAACTGAGCAGTTAGCTAATATGAAAACACACACGTGAGTTTCTGTGTAAAGCAAACCTTGACATGTTCTAACATGTATGTGGTGCTTGTTTCTTTTTCTCCCTTGTTCGTTAACCAAAGAGAATGTGGTCTCATGGTGCCTATCTTGTATCTTTCTCTGGTGTTTGATTCCTTTAGGAGATTATTGGAGCTTCTTGAGTCATAACCAACATTTCTTTTGAATAAGCCTGGTTTACTTGCATCTTTGCCAGCTTTCCGACATCCGTAGACAACTCTATCGAATTTAGAGTTGTCAATAGTCTCATATATATTAAACCTCAGTTTGTTGCATTCTTCTGTATATAGTGAAAGGTTTTAAGAAGTCTGAACTCTGTCATGACCTTGCAATTAGCGCTCTTATTTTAAGCGGTATGGTGTAGTTTTTACTCAAACTTTTTTGGTTAAGTGTGGTGTCGTGACCAATTTATGCACATTTTGATTAATCTACTGAGCACTTGCTACCTACTACCTATATATGTATTGGGCGACCTATCTACCTATGGTTTGAAGAATACTAAGAGATCATCTATGGTTATTTTGCATCTGCTGGGATGCAAATTTAGATTGCCTTTGTAATCCATCGCAGATAGTTTTGTTGGTGAGACATGTCAGGTCAAAAATGCTTGCCAATTCATTGTACTATATTGCTTCGTGAATCTCATCTACTCTAACGCAGCTTCTGATCAGGATTTTCCATTTGTTCTATGGTATATTCAAATCATTTAAAAAGGATTTAACATTTGCAGGAACTACTGGAGAGATAACGATACAGCTCTTTTTATGCTGAAACACTTGTATCGGGATATACCAGAGGATTCCTACTCGTCTTGTGAACCTGTGGAAGGAAGTTCAAAGGATGATAGAGATACAACGACCTGGTATGATCAACGAGAGGAGGTTGATGAAGAATTCCCATTAACATTTGCGGACAAAGTAACTGTGAAAAGTTTTTCTCACAAAGCCCGGAGAACTTTGAAGTGGTGAATCATGCTTTGATCTCTTTTAAACTTGGAGATGCAGAAAAACACCAATTCTGGACTTATGCTACTTCAACACTAATCAGTGTAAAAGCACAAGTTCTTTGTATACCAGTGCTCTAACAAGGAGAGTGTTGAAGGTATATCTGTCTTGTGCAAGCGCGGTCTGGAAATACCTTGTACTGTTTCAGAATATGATGTAAACGAAGGTATTTCTCCGCAGCTGTGATCTTTAACTGTCTTCTGTAAGACTGATCTTCGTCTTAAAAGGAAGACGAGAAACATAAGATCGATCCTCCGGTGTATACAGTGAAAAAGGATATGCTCATGTGACTTGAGCCATGTATGAATGCTTGTTTTTTATATGTGAATTTCTGGCACTAAACATGTAAATATATGTAGCTGTTAGAAAGTGACAATATGCATGCTTAGTTTTATGTGTTTTATTGTCATTTTCCTCTTTGGACATTTACCTAGTTCATGTTCACCCCTCAATTCTTCTCGTTATCGCTTCGTTGTGGAACCGTTGCGATCTACTTTGATTCGAAAAATGGGCTTGAGAACCTTACGTTCTTGAATCGATAATCATCTCTCGACAAATCTAATATCCCACTTCTTGGGTACCAAATAAGGTTGTTTGACTTTGGTTTGGTACAATTTGATTTTCTAAAAACTTCAAAGAACTTCTCTGTTTAATTTATATTTTTTTAAAAATAAATACTTTAACTAATAAATAAATAAAAAGTAATTCATGTTTCTTCTTAATCTCATTTTATCAAATTAAAAATAAAAAAAATCATGTATTTTTTTATTTGAAAATATATGACATGATAGTAAAATCATGATTAATTTTCATTCAGATAACAGTAAACAAAATTAACAAAATTAATAAGATTTTTTCTCAAATTGATATGGCATAAACATATGTTGATAAAAGAATAATTAAGAAAATTTGTTTTAAAAGAATATATTTATTTTTTAAAAGGAACAATTTTTAGCTCATATGAAATAATAAAAACATTTTAAATCAAAATATTGACTATAAAGCATTTTTAAATGAAACTATTGATTAGGCATATTATAAATTTTACATAATTTAAGACATTTTGACTCTTTCCCAAAAAAATTACTTTAAATACGGCTCGAGTTTGAGTTCCTTTGAATATAGAGTCGCTCTTGTTAGAAAATATTTCACCTTTTTTGAGTGAATCCAAATTTAATTAGACTCTAATATAGATGCCGAATACGGTAAAAATAAATGGAAAACTTACATAAATATACTATAATACAAAAATATTTACCATTTATAGCAATAACATTTTTTTTTCACTTGAACATTTTTAATTTATTGATAATACAACTTTAATACATATTACAAAGAACAATTTATTAGACATATAATACAAGTTTTAATGATATATAATATATTTATCACATATTTTAATACACTTATAATACAATGTGACAATTTTTTATCAAACAAACATAATATATTTCAAAAACAATTATAATTCAAATATATTGCATACATAATTCACTTTTAATACATATCACAGATTTATCACAACATTGCTATGAATGATAATAAACAAGAAAATATCGCTAAAATCACTAATTATTTTTTAAAATGTATTAATTTATGTAATTCTTTCAAAATAAAGGAAAACTTACATAAATATACTATAATACAAAAATATTTACCATTTATAGCAATAACATTTTTTTTCACTTGATCATTTTTAATTTATTTATCATACAAGTTTAATACATATTACAAAGAACAATTTATTATTCACATATAATACAACTTTTAATGATGGATAATACATTTATCACACAATTTAATACGATGTGATAATTTTTTACCAAACAAACATAATATATTTAAAAAATAATTATAATTCAAATATATTGCATACATAATTTATTTTTAATACACATCACACATTTATCACAATATTGCTATAATTATCGCTAAAATCAATAATTATTTTTTGAAATGTATTAATTTATGTAATTTTTTTCAAAATAAATCACAAAGCCCATTAGCAGCTAAAACCTGTAACACAGTTTTTGGCGGACCTTTCAATCTTGTTTGGAACAGAGTCTTCAGTTTTATTGCTTTCTTGTTTTCATCGACATCATCAACTTTCTCATTCTTCAAATCTACCGCACACCCACCTCCTCATTCATTCTCATTTCTCTGTCAGAGTAGTAATTGGTAAGCTGATTACACTTCTTGTTCCTTGTTTTCTTCAGTTTCTTGTTATGTGCACTGCTATATTCTTTGTGGGTTTTGAATCAATGTTCTAAAGATTTGTTTTTTTTCCATACCCATCTTGTCTTTCATCCCCATTCCTCTGTTGAAAGTAGTGATTTGTAAGCTAATTACAGTTCTAATTGCCTGTTTTCTTTCATGTTGTTGTTATGCTTTGTCGGATTTGAATCAATGTTCTAAAGATTTGTTGTTTTTTTTTCATACCCACCTTGTCTTTCATCCCCATTTATCTGTCAAAGTAGTGATTGGTAAGATAATTACACTTCTTGTTCCTTGTTTTCTTCAGTTTCTTGTTATGTGCACTGCTATATTCTTTGTGGGTTTTGATTCAATGTTCTAAAGATTTGTTTTTTTTCCATACCCACCTTGTCTTTCATCCCCATTTATCTGTCAAAGTAGTGATTTGTAAGCTAATTACACTTCTTGTTCCATGTTTTCTTCAGTTTCTTGTTATGTGCACTGCTATATTCTTTGTGGGTTTTGATTCAATTTTCTAAAGATTTGTTTTTTTTTCCATACCCATCTTGTCTTTCATCCCCATTTTTCTGCTGAAGTAGTGATTTGTAAGCTAATTACAGTTCTAATTGCCTGTTTTCTTTCATGTTGTTGTTATGCTTTGTGGGATTTGAATCAATGTTCTAAAGATTTGTTTTTTTTCCATACCCATCTTGCCTTTCATCCCCATTTCTCTGTTGAAGTAGTGATTTGTAAGCTAATTACAGTTGTAATTGCCTGTTTTCTTTCATGTTGTTGTTATGCTTTGTGGGATTTGAATCAATGTTCTAAAGATTTGTTTTTTTTTCATACCCACCTTGTCTTTCATCCCCATTTCTCTGTTGAAGTAGTGATTTGTAAGCTAATTACAGTTCTAATTGCCTGTTTTCTTTCATGTTGTTGTTATGCTTTGTGGGATTTGAATCAATGTTCTAAAGATTTGTTTTTTTTTTCCATACCCACCTTGTCTTTCATCCCCATTTCTCTGTTGAAGTAGTGATTTGTAAGCTAATTACAGTTCTAATTGCCTGTTTTCTTTCATGTTGCATTGAGATGTTGTTTGTGGGTCTTGATTCATTGCTCTAAAGATTTGTTTTTTTCCATACCCATCTTGTCTTTCATCCCCATTTATCTGTCAAAGTAGTGATTAGTAAGCTAATTACACTTCTAAGTCCTTGTTTTCTTCACTTTCTTGTTATGCTCTGCTTTATTCTTTGTGGGTTTTGAATCAATATTCTAAAGATTTGTTTTTTTCCATACCCATCTGGTCTTTCATCCCCATTTCTCTGTTGAAGTAGTAATTGGTAAGCTAATTACAGTTCTAATTGCCTGTTTTCTTCACTTTCTTGTTATCAGTGCTTTATTCTTTGTGGGTTTTGAATCAATGTTCTAAAGATTTTTTTTTTAAACTCATCTTGTCTTTCATCCCCATTTCTCTGTTGAAGTAGTAATTTGGTAAGCTACTCAGAGTTCTAATTCCTTGTTTTCTTCACTTTCTTGTTATGCTTTGTGGGATTTGAATCAATGTTCTAAAGATTTGTTTTTTTTCCATACCCACCTTGTCTTTCATCCCCATTTCTCTGTTGAAGTAGTAATTTGTAAGCTAATTACAGTTCTAATTGCCTGTTTTCTTTCATGTTGTTGTTATGTGTTGAGATGTTCTTTGTGGGTCTTGATTCAATGTTCTAAAGATTTGATTTTTATTCCATACCCACCCTGTCTTTCATCCCCATTTCTCTGCTTCCACATCTTTATCTCTCTGTTAGTGTAATTCTCTGCTTCCACATCTCTATTTATCTGTCAGTGTAATTCTCTGCTTCCACGTCTATTTATTCGTCAGTGTAGTTCTCTGCTTCCAGATCTCTATCTATCTGTCAGTGTAATTCTTTGCTTGCACATCTCTATCTATCTGTCAGTGTAATTCTCTACTTCCATATAGTTTAAATTGTTTGTTTTTCTTCATTTTCTTGTTTTGCATTGTTTCATTCCTTGCGAGTCTTGAATCAATGTGAAAAAGATCTGTTTTTTATTTCCATACCCACCTAGTCTGTTATCCTTATTTCTCTGCTTACAAGTCTCTATCTCTCTGTCAGTGTAATAGGTACAGACTAAGCTAATTACAGTTATAATTGATTGTTTTCTCCATTTTCTTGTTTTGCATTGTGTTATTCTTTGTGGGTCTTGAATCAATTTTCTAAAGATTTGTTTTTTCCCCTATCTACCTAGTCTTTCTCTGCTTCCACATCTCTTTCTCTGTCAAAGAAATAGGTACATACAAAGCTAATTATAGTTCTAAATTGCTTGTTTTCTTCATTTTGTTGTTATGCATTGATTTGTTCTTGTGGGTCTTGATTCAATGTTCTAAGGATTTGTTCTTTTTTCCATACCTACCTCCCCATTTCTCTGCTTCCATGTCTCTTTCTCTCAGCCAGTGTAATTTGTTCGGACTAAGCTAATTACAGTTCTGATTGTTTGTTTTCTTCATTTTGTTGTTTTGCATTGTTTTTTCTTTGCGGATATTGAGTAATGTTCTAAAGATTTGTTCTTTTTCCATACCCACCTGTCTTTCATCTGCTTCCACATATCTTTCTCTCTGTCAAAGTAATAGGTACAGACTAAGCTAACTACAGTTCTAATTGTTTGTTTACTTTCATTTTGTTGTTTTGTTTTGTTTTATTCTTTATGGGTCTTGAATCAATGTTCTAAAGATTTGTTTTTTTCTTCCATACCTACCTAATCTTTTATACCCATTTCGCTGCTTACACCTCTCTCTCTCTGTCAAAGTAATAGGTACAGACTAAGTTAATTACAGTTCTAAATCGCTTGTTTTCTTCATTTTGTTGTTTTGCATTGTTTTATTCTTTGTGGGTTTTGAATCATTCTTCTAAAGATTTGTTCTTTTTCCACACCCACCTATTTTTTATCCCCATCTCTGATTTTTTCATGTCTTGCTCCCCCCTCTTTTTCTCTGTCCAACGTAATAGGTACACACTAAACTAATGACATTCTTATTGCTTGTTTTCTTCATTTTCTTGTTAATCATTGTGTTATTCTTTGTGGGTCTTAGATCAATGTTCAAAAGATTTGTTTTTCCCCAGTTCTTGCAGGAAGACAGGAATCGGATTACATTGATCAGGAAATGGATTCTGCAGCCATGACTAGCGTTTGTGGCAAATCTGCTCTTTGCTCTACTCCC